AGGGTCAGGCTGGGCAGACAGAGGTCTGAGGGAGCACCAGGGTGATGCCCCTGCAGCCCAGAGCTTCCAAGAGGCCCTGGAGTCCCAGTGCCAGGGAAGGCTGAGGCCCTAGTTGCTCTAGGTTGGTACAACTTTTACTATTCTTAATTAGCATTCAAAGTTTTAGGTTTCATTATGGCATTTTCAAATATAATTTGTTTTCCATTGATCCTCCTGTACCCGTCTTCTCCCCCATCTTCTTGTTCCCCTTGTCCCCTTCTAGCTCACAGGAGTTCCCCTTCTGCTTGTTTTTTAAATTTTTTAAAAAATGTTATGTGTATGCATGTATTGCTTGCATGTAGGTAAGTGCACCCATGTCGTGCAATGCCCACAGAAGACAGAATAGGCTATTTGATCCCCTGGAACTGGAGTTAAGGACAGTTATTAGCTGCCATGTGGGTGCTGAGATTTGAACCGGGGTCTTCTGCAAGAACAACCAGTGTTCTTAACTTCTGAGCCATCTCTCCACCCCCCATTCTGCTCTTTTATTTAGTGAGTGTGTGTGTGTGTGCGTGTGTGTGTGTGTGTGTGTGTGTGTGTGCACGTGCATGTGTGTGTAAAAGCAGGCACACAGGGGTTTGGAGAGATGACTCAGCAGTTAAGAGCACTGGCTGCTCTTACAGAGGACCTGGGTTTGATTCCCAGCACTCACATGGGGCTTACAACTGCCTGTAACTCCAGTTCCAGGAGATCCAATGCCAACTTCTGACCTCCGTAGGCATTACACAACACGGGTGTACTTAAACACATGTAGGCAATAAAAATAATTTTTAAAAAAATCAGGCACACATATGCCATGGCATATGTGTGGGAATCAGACAACTTTCAGAAGTCAGTTCTCACTTGTTGAGGTGGGATCTTTTGCTGTTTGTGCCTCTGCGCATCATACTCCAAGCTTCTTGACCCTCAAACTTCCAGTTGACTTTCCTGTCTCTGCCTCCCATCTCACCATAGGAGTGCTGGGATTGCGGATGCACACCACCTCATTTAGCCTTTTGCATGGGTTGCAGGGATCAATCTAGGTCATCGGACTTGATGCGTAGCACTTTTATCTACTAAGCCATCTCCCCAGCTCGCCCTTCTGCTTTTATGTCACGTTGTTCTGTTTTCCTTCCCACTTCCCCAAGACCTCCTTCTCCCCTTTTGTGGACCTCTTTCTAGTTTCTTAGCCTATATCCATACCCACACCCAAATACGTACATATATATAAACATTAAAAGCTAGGATCTGTATATGAGAGAGAACACAGTATTTGTCTTCCTGAGTCTGGGTCACCTCATTTAGCATAATAATTTCCAAGTCCATCCAATTTCCTGCAGATTTCACAATTTCGGTTTTCTTTACAGCTGAATAGAATTCCATTGTGTATAGTACCATTTTTTCATTATCTAGTCATCCTTTGATGGTCATCTAGGCTGGTTCCAGCTCCTTGTCATTGTGAACAGTGTAGTAATAAACATGGATGTGTGGGTATCTCTGTGATACGGCATAGAGTCAGTCCCTTGGGTATATGCCCAGGAGTGGTATAGCTGGGTATAGCTTTTAGCTGCCCAGTCCCAGCGCTAGTAACTGACCACAGAAGCATTTCTCCCAGAGTCCTTCTAGTCCCAATCCCGGGGCATTTTTTCCAACGGAAAAGTCACGGGAAAGAAATGGCAGACAACAGCAGTGGCCCATCTTCTTCCTCCCTTAGTAAGGCTGCAGAGACCACAACCCAGCCCTCTCCTCCACGGTAAGTCTCAGTCAGTCTTGTCCTGCCCCATTGTCCCAGGCCCTCAGAGCCGCCTGGGCCCCATTGCCCTTTTCTGTTTACACTGGGAGATGAGCTTCTGCCCAGCTTAAGTGCAGTTCTGGCCCTTTTGTTTGTTTTTAAGTCAAGTTACGACTCTGCTCCCGGATTTATTGCAAATTCCATTTATCTCCTGCTGCCCAGAGTCTCCGCACAAATCCTTTGAGGCTCCCCTCCCCTCTGAGGACAAATGTCAGTGGACACAGGAAAGAAGAGGTGTGTAAAGATATGGGGGAGGCACACCTAAAGGCCAAAGGCTGTCCCCAGGCTGGTAGCAAAGGAGAGCCACAGATCACCCAAGGAGGACAGGCACAGCGCCTGTCTACCACCTCCCACCCACTTTTAACAGACCTTAATAGGAAAGAAGAGCCAGGCCCAAAGAAACCCCAGTCCTGAGGGGCTAGAGTAAACAAAGGAAGGCTCTGGTTTGAATGAGTCTCTGGCAGATTTTAACAGGAAGTGGTATGAAACCAAGGGTCCTGGGAGGCCTGGAAAGGAACTTTCCTGGAGCTTGTCTGACAAGGGCTGAGGGCCTGAGAATTGGGCATGACTTCACGCCCACAGGGGACCATCTCAGTCCTTGCTGAGCACAGCTCAGCCTCTGAGAGTCCCCTTCCTTCTTGTAGGTATCCCAACCCTCTCCAAGCCCCAACGTGTCCATAAGCTGATGCTAAAGAGCAAACAAGTCCACACCAGTGCTCACCAGGGAAAGAGAATCAAACTGAGACGAACAAATTGGGAGCGGGGCGTCCCACTGTGCTGTTGGCTTATCCTTCCAAGACAGGAAGTGCCAATGGCCTCTGCTTTCCTTGCACAAATTCCCTGGCTTGGGAGCATGCTGGAGACACTCAGTGATTTCAAATGGGCTTAACGGTCTGGTAAGGGACTAACAGGGATTGAATCCTACAAGGCCAGGAAAGCAACGGCATGGCTAGGTGGCTGCAGGGTATCCTAGAACAGGCTGTGGCAGCTGGCAGCAGGTAAAAGTCACCTTTCATGTCCTTCCCTGAGTATCACCAAGGACATGAAACTAGGGCCTCAGCATCTCAGCCCAGGACCTCAAGAGGTAAGGGTTAAGGGAGTAAGAGCAGAGCAGTCCCTATCTTGCCTCTGAGAGCACCCTCGCTGATAATGAAGCCCCTTTCCACATCCATCTCAACACAAAGGCTCAGTACTCCATTCCCTTGGGCCATGGGGACCTGATTCTTCCTCAGTCTCCAACCAGCTCTGTCATTAACCTAGCCTCTCCCTGCCCCCAGGCTGTGGCTCCTCTTGTATTTCCCCCCTCCAACCCCGTCTTGCCAGTTCTGACTCTGGTCTTGGTCTTTTAGTAGCTGGGCTCCCTCAGATACCTCCAACATCTCACCTTGACCCTTGCTGCTGATATCCACACTGACCACAGCTTCTTCCGCTTCCTTCTTCCTGTGGTTCCTGTGCATCCCTTGTGCCTGGTTTCTCCCCTTTCCCCTTTGGGAGCATCCCTGGCCTCCCTCATCAGCTGGGTTTCTATATTCAAAATCCCCTCTGACCCTGACTTTCCACCTGAGTGGACTGTTCTATTTATTCCCTCTGCATCTGTAGTTGCCTGGTCCTGCAGAGGGAGACTCAGCACCATGCTGATGGCAGACCCAGCAACTGGGCCACTGCCTCTGAGGTTCTCACTCTGCTCAGATCCCCCAACCCCAACCTCTAGCTTCCATTTGCAGAACATCTTACAGGCCTCCTTGCTAAGATCTAGGCCTTTCCACAGGCTCTCTCTAGTCTCTCCTTGCCCACCTTAGAGCTCCTTCATGTCACTGTCTTTCTCTCATGAAAAGACAACAGATGTTCCCGCCTCCTTTACAAACTAACTTATTTACCTGGCCTAAGATAACAAGGGCACCTGTCCCTTCCATGCCAGGTAGTCACTAGTCTTCCTTCCTGCATGAGAAGCTACATGTTCAGGCTCCCCTACTGCTTCAAAGCCATAGTCACAGGTGAGAAGTGGTGCCCCAAAGCAAGGCTGTCTCTTCCTTCAGGCTAAACCGGCTTCCCTCAGACCTGCTTTCTCTCAGCTCACCACCCTTTGTTCCCTCTGTTATGCACTTCCCATAGGGTCCTCTGCACCCTCTGCTTCTATTCCTCTCCTCAGACCTCCATTCTTATCAGTAGCCTTCCTCTCAAGAGTGGCCCAGTAGCACCTTCAGATGCCCCCTTGGGGCTGCTGGGCCTCCTGACCACTGCCTAGACTCTCTCCTTGGTTCTCCTGGTTTCTTCCTGCCCAGCCGCTCCTTTTGTCCCTGTCCCCATGCTTTTTAGCTACCCCTCAGCCAGCCTGGCCTCCTCTCCTCACCTTCCGTCTAGCTCATCCATAGCCATGTCTTCTGCCGTTATTTCTATGAAGTCCAAATCTCTAGCTAGGAAAATGCACACATTTCTGCCTGAACTGATCATTTCCCAGATGCATGTCTCATATTGAGATTGCCTGACTTTGTTTATTGTATATCCATTCTCCCCATTGCCTTGGTTAAAACCCTCAGACATGTCCCTCTCCCTGCAGTTAATATCAGCTTCCACATAACTCAAGAAATACACACACACACACACACACACACACACGCACACACACACTCATATCCCTCCACACTCTAATGTTGTTGTCTAAATTAAAACCCTTTCCATCTCTCCCTGGACTTTTTCCCTCAGCCTTTGAGACTATTCTTTCCCAGGCCACTTGTTCTTGAACATGGGACCCCTCATAGCAACCTAAAGCAAAGGACAGGGCCTCGCCTTGCTGCCAGCTTGACTCTTACCATGGTTGCCAGCAGCTGCTGGTTAAGGACCTACTACTGAACAAACAGGTACCTGTGCCTAGATCATAGTCACCTATTTCCCACCCCAGCGCTTGCCGCCCCTCACGTACCCAGTTTTCCATTCACTCATTTTGTCTGCAGAGGGCACCTCCTTCTCCTACATATCAGGACATTTCTCAATCTTGCTCAAGGCCTAGCTCTTCCAAGAAACCTGAAAGCCTCCAAAGATACAACCAACTTCCCACCTCTTCTTTTCTATTACAATTGCATCTCACTCAATGTGTGCCTCATCTCCCTGGCTGTCAGCCTGCCAGCTCGAGAATAGCTCTCACTCAGTGCCGTATGTATCCTACACATATTTAATTCAAGTTTGTTGCTTTTGAATTGGGTCTTACTTCCTCATTTCCCAGATGATAAACTATGGCCAGAGTCAGAGGGCAAGTCATTGTAGGCTTCTCATTTCCAATGCGGTGCTCAGAAAAGCAACAAGTCCCAGACTCAGTCGTCCCCAGTCTTGCTGCATAGGCCTTCCACAACTATGCTCAGGTACCCAGGCTCCTGATCTTCCTCCTACAAACTGAGCAGACTGGAATCAGAACAGAGAGACCCAGGACGAGCAGCCAGGTCTGCTATCTGCTATCACCCCTGGAGAACATGTAATCCCATTCTCAGAACCTCTAAGGCAATTGCTTACTTCTTTCTGACTTGCAGCACCAGATATCACCATCTTATGACCTCCTCTGTGATGGAAAATCTTCCTTTCCTCTAGATCTTCCTCCTGCCCCTCCAAGCCTCCATGCTTGTTGCATAGCCTGTGTCCTCTAGCTGGGTCTTCTGAAGTGAAAGAGCTTCTCCCACCCTCCTGTGAGCATCACCTTTGGTGAGCAGGAGTTCTTGTAGTTCCTGGAAGGAAAGAAATAAAACATCATCAATCCATGTGTGAGATACCGACTGTCTGTGACTGTTCACCCTAGTCACACAGTTTTTTCTCACATATGAAATGAAGAAAGCTAAATTTTGTCCTTTGGGAGAGGTTGACATGTCCACTTGCACACACAGTGCAGCTTCGTCTCAGTCAGGTTTGGTATGGGAATCCTAGGGCAGGTTAGAGCCACCTGTTTTCTAAATCTCCCTCTTTCTAATCTAGCTGTGGCGTGTTATCCCAAATCCAATGAAGAGTGTCTTTTTAAGTAAGAAGGAATTGGTTCATTCATCTCCATAAAAACCAGGGGAAGGATCTTGTATAATATTCAAATCTTTGCCGTGAATGTCAAAGAACTGATTAAGTAAATAAAATTATCGTGGCAGCCCAAGGTTGCATTAACTGCTGTGAGCAGCTGACATGCACATTTTGAAAGGGCTCCATGATGTGCTCTATACAAGCTGGACTAGAAACCAGCTATAGCTGTCAAGGGGCCGGTGTTCTCCGTCAAGGGTGAGCTGGAGCAGGCTGACCCAGGAACAGGCAGTCACAGCTGAGTGCATCAGCTTGCGTGGGAAGGCCAGCTGTCTCAGTGGGGCCCAGGAGACAGACTGACGAGGGAAGAATTCCTGTGTTTGGAATTGGGCTTGAAAAGTCTCCTGTTTGTAACACTCAACTCACAGAAGAGCAGAAAGAATTTCCAGCTGTCATCGGGGTGCAGAAAGCCCTCCTGATTCTGTCTGGGACTGGTGTGTGTGTGTGTGTGTGTGTGTGTGTGTGTGTGTGTGTGTGTGTGCTGTGGGCTCTCCTGTTCCTCCCCCAGGCCTGGCTACCACATCAAATACCCAGAGGGGCCAGCTCCAGAGCCACATGACCCTTTGCTTTCAAAAAATGCAAGCAGGCCAGGCCTCGGTGGCACAGACCTGTAATCACAGCTACCCAAGAGGCTGAGACAGGAGACTCTCAAGTTCAAACCTAGCCTGGACAGATTAGCCAGATCCTGTCTCAAAGTAAAAACTAAAAAGGGGTGGGGATATAATTCAGTGGTAGACCACTAGTGTAGGAGGTACATGATCCTTCCATCTCTAGTAGTAGAGAGGGAGGGGCACAAAGAACGAGTATTATGTGACACTTTTATATGAGGTACCTAGTATAGTCAAATTCATAGAGACTGAGTGTAATACTGGTTACCAGGGGCAAGTGTGGGGAAAGAATTAGTGGTTCATGGAGACAGAGTTTCAGTTTTGCAAGATGAAAAACTTTGGAGACAGATGCTGGTATTGGTTACAGACCAGTGGGAATGTACATAATTCTACAGGACTGTACACTTTAAAAATGGCTGAAATGTGGGCTGGGGTGGTGGCCCATTTAGGGTGGTAGCCCATTTGGTAAAGTGTTTCCCATGCAAGCAAGAGGACCCAAATTTGGTCCTGAGAACCCATGTAAAAAAGTCAAGGATGGCAGCTCTCACTTGTAATACCAGGGCCATGTGTGTGTGTGTGTGTGTGTGTGTGTGTGAGAGAGATAGAGAGAGAGAGAGAGAGAGAGATCCCTGAGGCTCCCTAGCCTGATTAGCAAGTTCCAGGACCTGGTCTCTAAAAACAAAGTGGATGGCTCCTGAGGAACAACACCCAGGGTTGTCTGGCCTCCATACACACGAACACATACATACATGCATGCACCTCCCCCACAATTACACTGGCTGAAAGGATCCATTTTATGTTATGTATATTTTTCTATAATTAAGGAGGGAAATGGAGAGAAACAGGAAAGAAAAAAAAGAGAAAGGGAGAAAGAGAAGAACGAAGATAAAGGGAGGAAAGGAGGGAGGGAGACAGTGACAGAGGGAGGGAAGGAATGCAAGGGAACCCAGCATCACAGCACAGCTGGCAGAAGGCAGTGAGGTGACTCAGGCCCTAAGTCTAAAGAGGGGAATGTATGTCTCAGTGTGACATCCCTGCAAGAGAAAAATGGCTTCACAAACAGCAGGATAAAGGAGGTGAGCATATCAGGCCAAGCCATGTAATCCCTGTACCCTCCCCATGACTAATAATTGAGGTCATTGTGCATAACACAGACTGATCGAAGCTTTTCATTGCGAGCTATTCTTTAAATGCCTAAGAGCCTTCACGATATCCTTTTAAGGTTATGGGTGGGAGCCCATTTCTTCATAACCTATTCAAACACAGTGGAGTTGTTCTAAGAAAGATCAATTTTTGGAGTCAGAGAACCTGGGGCCAGAGTTCAAGGCCTGCCATGGTGTGGCCAGATTAAAAGACAGCCAGGCATGGTGGTATACGACTTTAATCCCCAACACTCAGGAGGCAGAGGCAGGTGGATCTCTGTGAGTTCAAGGCCAGTCTGGTCTACATGGTGAGTTCCAGGATAGCTAGGGCTACAGGGAGACCCTGTCTCAAAAAGACCAAAAATAAATAAATAAATAAAAATAAAAGACTGTGGAAATGCTTTTTGTGAGCTATGAACTGCTTCACTATCATCTCTTTTCAACTGAGCCTGGCTGTGGTGCCAGTTAGCAACAGGCTTTAAAGAACTAGCGCTGCAGAAAAATAAGCATGGCTACCTCTCCTGCATGCCTTGGAGGGCAACCTGCTGGAACCAGAGCTGAGAAGCAAGCAGAAATCCTTGCACTCTGAGAAAATTCATTCCGTAGTATTTGGAGGGAGGGTCAACCTGAGCTAAGCCAGATGTTGGTGAGAAGATGGTCACATTAACCCTTTATCAGTTATCAGTCCTGGAACACAAAGTCATTTCTATCAGATTTTTATATTTTTTCATTGAGATGTAATTCATATCTAATAAAAATGACTATTTTTAAAATTTTATTTTTTATTTTTATTTTATGTGTATGAGAGTATTGCCTGCATGTATGTGAGTGCACCCGTGTCGTGCAATGCCCTGGAGGTCAGAAGAGGGCTTCGGATTCCCCTGGAACTGGAGTTAAGGATGGTTCATAGCTGCCTTATGGGTGCTGGGAATCGAACCCGGGTCCTCTGCAAGAGCAGTGGGCGCTTTTAACTGCTGAGCCACTCTCTAGCCCCAAAAGTCACTATTTTAAAGTATATGGTCCAGTGGGTTTTAGTATTGTAGGAGAGAAGGGAGATGGTTCCCTTTGCCCTCTGGAGGGTCTCTGGAGTGAAGTGACAGCAGACAGATTAGCAAGAGAAAACAGCATGCACATTTATTTAACTTGCCTGGTGAAAAATCCCAGGCGTGTGATTACCAGCAACCCAGTGAGGCATAGCTGCCTGCAGACCTTTCTTCATAGGACACAGGAACATGGGGACTGCAAGCAAGGTAAATAAGTCTAGTAAATGATCCTTGGGGGAATGAACGGGTTGAGAGCACAGACAATCTTTCATAAATGATTTTCTTCTTTTTTTCATATAAAACAGCTTTTATTTTTATTTAGTAATTATTTATCAAAATTCATAGGGTTTGTAGGTGTTTTGTTGATGTTGCTGTTGTTGTTTTTGTCTTTTTGAGACAGGGTCTCCCTGCAGTCCCAGCTGGCCTGGAACTCATTATGTAGACCAGGCTGACCATGAACTCACAGAGATCCAACTCTTAGAGATCTCCTGCCTCTGCCCCCCAAGTGCTGGGATTAAAGGAGTGCACCACCAAACCCAGATGAGTGGGGTTTTTTTAGAAGTTAGATTCTAGTAATAATAATGATGGAATTTCTGAGAATATTTTAATCATTTAATTAAATTTTAAGATAACAGCTATTTTTGATACAGGAAAGTATGGAGTGCTGAGTAAGACATTAAGGCAGAGCACACGTAAAATTACAATAATCTCCAGCTGGGCATGGTGGTGTGAGCCTTTAATCTCAGCCCTCCAGAGGCAGAGGCAAGTAGATCTCTGCGAGAACGAGGCCACCCTAGTTCACATTGTGACTTCCAGGTGGGCTGTGACTAGGGAGACCCTGTCGAAAAACAACCAACAAAAAGGCAAAACACACACACATACGCACACGCACACACACACACAAATAATCTCCTGTAGAACAAAAAGAATTAAAACATAACTTCAAGGAGAAAAATGGAATTTTATAAATTTGTGACTGCTGAGGAGCAGAGTATTTATTCTTCTTAAAATGAATAATGACAGAGCTAGAGAGATAGTTCAGCAGTTAAGAATACTTGCTGCTCTTGCTGAGGACTCCAGAGGTTTGGTTCCCAGCACCTACCTCAGGCAGCTCATAACTACCTGTAACTCCAGCTCCAGCAGATCTGATGCCTTCTTCTGGCCTCCAATCCATGTACACCCCCGCCCCCAGACATACAGTTAAAAATTTAAAATAATCTTGTTGGGCATGGTGGTATGTGCCTTTAATCCCAGCACTCAGGAGGCAGAGGCAGGCAGATCTCTATGAGATGGAGGCCAGCCTGGTCTACAGAGTGAGTTCCAGGCCAGCTGGGGTTACAGGGAAACCCTGTCTTAAAAAGACCAAAAATAAATAAATAAATAGTCTTCAAAGGAGGTAACAGACAACAACCACCAATAACTTCTGGCCTTGTGGGTACTTACACACATGCAGACAAAAATACTCATACACAAAATAAAAATTAAAAAGGTAAGAGGGCAAGCTGAGGTCATTCTTGCGGTTGTTGGCCTGGACCTATTCAGGAGTACAGCTATAATGTGAGATAACAGGCCCCTGATGTAATGGGGACCTAAGAATGGTACCCCTTCTCTCCAGCCTCTACTTGACCCCTTCTGACCTATCTCACCGTGTGTAGCTGTTGTAATATAACCCTCTATGTCCCTCTGTATAGCTCTGGTTTCTGATGAGGACTGTTCAGGAAAGAAGAGTCTTACTCTTCTATGAACAAACTGCTCACATTATTGATTCAAGGCTTGCAGAATGTATAGCCCTTTGAACCCTAAGCCTTGACCCTGACTCCAATGAACTATCCCCTCTGGGACTTCCATGGGGAAAATCCTGGCCTTAACAGAAGAGAAAAGGATTTTCTATTGGAGTAATCAATACCGCAAACCTCTAAGTAGCAGTGACCAAAAGATTTAAGGCTCCATAACTCTTCCTATTCTCAAACACATCTCAAGCTTAGCTTCTCTGCTTCTCTGTTTGCTCCGTTTCAGGCTCTCACCTGTGTGCCAGGGTCTGAACACACCTGCTCTGGGATGGAAGTTGGGGAAAGCAGGCACAGTGCCTTCCAGGTGCCAGGCACGGGAGTGTACACCTTAATCTCAGCACTCAGGAGGTAGAAATAGGTGGATT